CTAAAAAACGCAGAACTAGAGACTAATCTTTCCTATACATCTGCTCACTTCTCTCATCTTCCATCTGTCATTTCCTCACTGGAGGCAAGCAATAGCATTACTACTTTGTATCAGTCGTTAAGTGTGTTCAAAACCACTGTTTCCAAATTGAATTCGGTTCCTGGAAGAGTTGAAGTAGTAAAGGAAAAAGCACCCTGCATTCTTTAAAAAAAATCCAGGTTTGAACAAATTGTGTGAAATTGAAGAAATTTTAGTCGGTAAATGTACTGAACTGCCAAGTAAAATATCACTAATAGTGGAGCAAATAGTGGCTTTTGTACATCCGCCCCTAAGTTCCTGTGAGGTGGAAAGAATTATTTCCCGCTATAAGGACATCTTAGGGGACAATAGGAGGCGACTAACTATGGAAAACCTAGAACATTTAGTAATTGTGAACTGAAACAGAAGAGAAGTTGGAAGTTCGGAGAGCTAAATGTGAGTACCAATGGTTTCTTAAATTTGTAATGAAATATGTTGGCTTCGTTGCATGATTTGTATTTAAGTATAGCTTTTTTATTGCAAATGAACCATTCAGTGATTACATAAAATGAACTTAAATATTGATTTGTTGGTCTTAAAATAATGTAAAATTAATTTTAATACTTGGTATAAAGTTTCATGTGCATATTTCCGAGGTTTTTCATGCATAAATGCATACATATTTAAGGGATTATAAGGGCATAAAAATCCGGTTACTAGTGATAACACAGATACCTCACAGAGAAACAAAGAAGCTTTAACTGAAGCTACTAAGGAGTTTGGTAGAAGTAATCGCAGAGAAAACTAAGTATATGTTGCTGTCTTGTCACCAGAATGCAGGGAAAAATCATGACATAAAGTTAGGTAACAGATAGTTACTATAGGATTCTGACGATGGTGTATAACACACAGAGATATTGGATTTTCAGACTTTATGCATCGTCCTGGTTTTAAGATAACTAAGAAAACACAACGTTTCAGAAACTGGATCTGTTTCCGTCTTCAGGTAAGGGAAAACACCCATTCTGTTGGGTCCCTTAGAATGAGTTAGCCTCAATCACTGGACCTTCTGGTCTTTCTAAGGGACCCAACAGAATAGGTGTTTTCCCTTACCTGAGGACGGAAACAGATCCAGTTTCCGAAACATTGTGTTTTCTCAGTTATCTTAAAACCAGGACGATGGACAAAGTCTGGAAACCCAATATCTCTCTTAGGTAACAGATATTTTGAAACTGTGGCACAGTTCAGATACTTGGGAAGAATTGTAACAAATCAAAACCTAATTCAGAGCAAGTTAAAAGGAATCTGAACTCGGGTAATGCTTGCTACCATTCAGTTCAGAATATTTTGTCTGTTCGCCTGCTGTCTAAAAGCATAGAATTTAGGATATACACAAATATAATTTTTCCTGTGGTTCTGTTTGTGTCAAACTTGGTCTCTGTCATAAGGGAGGAACCGAGGCTGAGGGTGTTGAGGATAATATTTGGAGCCAGACTCGTCCGTGTGTCTGTCGCAAAGTTGGGAGTCAGCTCAAGCACTTATGGTGAAATTAATCCGAGTCAAGCTCGCCGAGCCAGACTCGTACGTGTATGTGCCCCTTAACGGATGGACCCTCTCAAGTAAAATTCAAAGACGAAACCAAAAACATAAGGATAACAAAAGCAGACGTACCACAAGGAAGTGTCTCAGGACCTGTCCTATTTCATATCTACGCAAGCGACCTCCTTACATCAGACAACACAACAACTGCTACCTTCGCGGATGTTACAGCAATCTCAGCTAAACATGAAGTTCCAGCGATAGCCAGAATGAAACTCCAAGCCACCGTGAATAAACTTGATTAGGCAAAGAAATGGAGAATTAAAATAAATCTAAGCAAATCTACGAAAATTACATTCATCCTACGCAACGAATCCTGTCCGACAGTGCAAATGCACCATGTTGAACCACCCCAGAGAGAAGTGAAATATCTGGGCATGCCTCTCGATAGAAGCCTGAGATGGGCAAAGCACATCAAAACCAAAAGAAAACAGCTCAACCATCGAAATCCTCCCGTGCTTTCTATCTCAGACCCTCCGACCCATCGGAACGCACCTTTGTATGTAAACAACCACAGGATCCATGAAGATCTGCAGACGAAAACAGTGCTCAGTGAAGTAAAGAAAGTGGAATACCAACTTCTTAAGAAAATTATAAAAGCACACAAATGCAGTAGCAGTGAGCATGTTAGACAATAGCGAAACTACACATAGACTGAAAAGATACACCGTCCTTACTCTACAAGAGAGACCTGAGTAAAACTCCAATAAAAGCATTCAAATGATATCTAATTGAAAACAGAAACGCCACTGGGGATAACTCATTCACGAGCCAGTACTTGCTGAAGATATATATTTATAGCACATCACAGCTACAATATGTACGTTATTATATTATGTACTACACATGTAAACATGCAAACAATCAGAATATACTGACAATGACTTCGACAAATGTGAGATGTCCTCTCGTCAGAGAGGCCGACCCATATCGAAGAAACCGTAACTGTCTGTAAGTAACTGACACTTGGTCAAGGACCACAGAGGATGTCAGAAACCAAAACGGACGGACTCACCGATCATCGGTCGCTATGTGACTTGACTTTGATGTTACCTAGCAACGAACAATGAAGACTATAACAAACTGGGAAGTTTTTGTGCGTGCCGTATTTATTTGTAGTCTGTGTAAATTAAGAATACTATTATAATAATTTGTAGTTACGAGTCATAACTGTTCAGTAAATGAGATAATAAATCCGAAACCAGAGTCTAGTCGCTAACACGTGACAATATGTTACTTACCAATCACTAGCAGGGCAACTGACATCACTAGAATGAAAATCGACAACAGGATCTGCTTAAAAGTCATCTTAGCCTGAAAAAATGTATGGAAAAAAATCGATTTATCTTTTATTACAGTAACAACAAAGAAATCTACAAACTAGCAAGACAACAAAACGAAACAATTACAGTAGAACATCCATGAAAGGGCAAAGGAATCCCACAGTGCATGACACGGCGATAATATGGTCACACAAGATTATATTGTAACAAACTGTATGAATGTGTAAAATGTGGTC